ACATCCAGCTAATACAATTGAATTATCTTTATTAATAGCAATTGCATAACAATTTTCACTTTATTAAATTGAATTATTCTATATTAAATTATAATTAAATGGTTTAAGATTGTCTTGTTATATTGGTTTATTTTATAATAAAATTAGTTATTATTAAAGTTAATCTATGTTTTGTTATTTTAATTTGATTTGTTTATGAATAGTCGAATTGATTATAGGTTTGAGTTCTTGAATTAATTAATTATGTAATGGTTATATGGAAGGTATAGATATTTATACAATTGGTAGGGCCAAATTAAGATTCTTTATTGGAACAGATGGATAAGGATCAAGAAGAAGTTAATCTAGATAAGCATCAATTCTGTTGTAAGAGCACTAATCATTTAATATTATTCAATAACTTACATCTAAATCTTATTAAAAACCTTAAAGACATTCTTCTACTTTATTCTTATATTACACAACAATCTATTCACTATTCATTTATTTTTTTATTAACATTTTTTATTTTCATTTCTCTATTTCTATTAAAAATTTACAGAAATTCAGTTTTGAAAAATTTATTATTACTGGAAAGATTGATGGCAAATCCAATAATTCTTATAATATTGACTAAATGGGATGTATCGCTTTTGAAAGATCCATCATGATAATATGGTTTAAGATGAGAGCAATCTAAACTCAATTGATTAGGAAAAGGTATAAAGAAAAATTTGGCTACATCTAAATAAAGTCTATTAGAATCTATTATTCTTAACTTACGATATTTTTGTTTATCATTTATTCATAAAAATATATTAATAAGGCTTTAAGCAAATAATTAAAAAATGCTGAATATTTTTTGAATTACATTTTATACTGATTACCTCTATTGTATTTAATTATATTTTTTAGATACAAAGGAAACTTTGTTGACCTAAGGAACAATTTATTATCACCATAAAACTCTATTTTTATCTAACTTTAACTTATAGTAAATAATTATTAAGGAATCTTTTCTAATCTTAAACTCAGGTGATTTTAGATCAATATTGTTGATTTTGATATATTGAAAAGAAATTCAAAAGGCGAAATTATTTCTTAATAATTCCGATTAATTTTGAAAATCTATTAAATACTTGATTAAATATAGTTGTAATTTTTGGTTTAATTTCATCCATTTAAGATTGGATATTTTCATGAATCAATTAAAGAGAAATAAAAATCGATTTATAAGATAATTATTAGAAAAAAATTAGTAGAAATTTTTTTTCTTCTTTTTGTGTATAAAGGAAAAGATTTTAAACTAATTTGTCAGGTGCTATGATAAAAATACTACTTAAGTCATTAGAATTATTTTGTTAATACAATTAATAAAAATTTTGGTATATTTTGACAATAACATCAAAAGCGAATTACAGATCACCTAAATACAATATTAATTGAAAAATCCAAATTAATAATCAACTAAGTATAGTACTTAATGAAGGTTTAATAAATGCTCATTTATGTAAATTATTGGTAAAGAAAATAATAATAATTTTATAATTATTTTTATTCATACTATTTGAACAAATTTTCAAATATTAAGTTAAATCTTTAGCAAAAGGAAGGCTATTGTGCTTAATCAATTATTAAATAAATATACATAATGTTTCTTATAAATCAAAAAGATCAGAAAATTTCATAAATTAACTACATTAAAAAATAAAAGAATTTTAAATATAATTACAATTTGGAGAATAATACTCAATATAAATATATGTTCTGTCCATAATAACATAACCTTAATATGCCAAAAGGTTTCATCTAATTGATATTGTATTTATATTCCTTAGAAAATTGAATTCATATTAAAAATATAATGGATTTGAATTATAACCCTAAGATAGTTCGCCTAGATCTCATACTCCTAACTTTTGCGGTAGGTGTTCAGAAATACAAATAAGGTTCAAGTTTTGAAATTGGGAGGGACCTAAAAGAATAGGTATGATAGATGTCCATTGTAGAGCAGCGAGAAATATATTTCCCCCCTTTGACTGATGTGCTGAGAACGATTTTAATATTGGATGAAACTTACTATATACAATTGTATTGATCACATATGTAATGAAATAAATGGATTATATGATTTTTTTCGATGATTTAAACAAAAATAATACATAAAAATAAATTATATCAGTAAAGCACATTGGTTTCTAGTAAATGGACATTTAGAAAAAAATATAAATATAAAGAACTCCCTCATCGTAAAAAAACATATATTTAATAAGAAATGCAATTATAGATAAATTTACTATCTATACATTAGTATACTGTAAAATAAGGCAAGTTTTAAGGAAATGGCAAAAATATAGGGAAGAATTAATACATATTATGTTAAATTTCTGAAGTTGAAGAATAACACTTGATACTTTATTCTCAAACATTTTAATATTTAATAAAATAATAAAGTGGGATAGAAAATTTCAATAGTGTTATTTTAAGAACATAATCAAAAGAGTTTTAAGGAGTATTTGGAAAAATTCTCAAACAAAAAATTATTTATTAAATTAAATTTATAGGATAACAAAATCAAATATGGAACCTTTTATAAGTAACAATTTTATTGCTATTAATTTAATTTATTCGTGGAAAATAAATTAATAATATGCCCCTTGCATCATCTGTGCCAAAAATGAGGAATTTTTTGAAAAAGTAGGCACACAGTATTAGCCCCACTTAGGAAAAAGGTTAGCACCTCTCCTCATAAACTCTTCTAAGAAACTGGTCTCTAAAAAATAGTAAATCATAGAAACAGTTTTGTCGAATTATAGCCACTGATTGACTAGACCTTAATCTGACCTCATAATTCGATATGGGTATTTAAATATCTCGTACTCTTTTCTGCCATCTTTGGAGTGTAATCAGGTCTCCCGCTATTACATTAGTTAGGTATCCCTACTATATAGACTCGCCTAATCTATACATAGGATTATTGAAAAAACTCAGCCTAGCCCACCATTTTAAATTGCTAATGAATTCTTGAATATACTAAAATTACAAGCATATAAATTGAAGGAGAGAGTCTGGATTAAATTAAAAATTCTAAAAACTTAGAAGGAGAAGTTACTCTATACCAAAAGGATTAAATAGATAATATTAAAGATAAAGGGAAGTTTAAATTGTATTAATTCAAAGTTAACTTAAATCAATAAGATTTTTGAATAAAAAAGCAACAAAAAATAATAGTTCTAAAAGTAGAAAAGATTATGGATTACCAAAATATTAAAATGGATAGTTGGTAGTTGAATAAAGTAATAATAAGTATATATATTATAAAATTTCGAATATATTCTTAAAAATGATAGATATTGAATTATAGATAATAGGTATAACTAATATAAATTTGAGAAACTTATCATGAAGCAAAAAATAAATATAAAGCTTAGTAAATTAAGAGAACTTATATGGAGAATTATAAGCATATCAATTTGAATTAGTTTTTTTGAGAAGTGGAGTATAAAGTAAGAAAGAAGTGAAATTTTACCATTACATAATACTACTCATAAGAATTAAATATATAAGCAAGGGGTTTTAAGGATATATTAAAAAGGAGAAGGAATATTCACTCAGAATGTATAGAAATATATCCAATTCTAAATTCTATTAAAATGCTTAAAATTTCTTTTTAATAAATAAATGACACCAAGAATTAATAATAAAATGTAATACTTCATATTGTAAAAATCAGATTTGTAAATTAGAAAAAAATAGAAATAACCTATAAAAAAATTAATAAATTCAGCTAATCGTGTGGTATATGCCAATTTTATAAGAGCAAAGATGACTGATGGCAAAAATAAAAAAAATGGTTAGAATTCAAGATTAAAAATAAAATCAATCAAGTTAAATAGAAAAAATCATATATTATAAAAAAAATTATTACTTGATTGGAATATACTATGATGAAAGATGTGTAGAAGAGAGTAGAATTAATACTTTTGAAATTCTTAATTTTAATGATCTTTAAAATTAATATATTTGTAGCTAGGATATAGAGATTTCTTAA